ACTCCCGCCCTCCTCCTCAGTGGCGACACTGCGGTAGGAATACGCACCACGGGCTAGCGGATTGGACGCCCATTGCGACCTGTAATGTTAAAGTAATAACTGAGTACTAAATAACGAGCAGTTATAAAGTTTGAATCTTATTATATCATATCGCCCCAATTTTTGTCGTAGACAAATACGAATATTGTTTAGTTTAATTTTTTAAACAATATAGTAGACTTACAAAATTAAGTAGGTGTTTGCCTTTTACTAAATGACTAAGGGTTTGTATAGACAGACCAGACCTTAGAGCAGAGCAGAACATTGTCACCTTTTTTTAAAAAGTTAAATTTATTTGCGACAATAGTCTGGACTGCTCCGCTTTGAGATTCAAAGATACTTTGTTTTCTATTTAGACTAGAATTCTACTACTTTTGGAACATACCTTTTTATCGCTTTAATCGGAGTCACATCAAACTGCTTCTTGAATATCCCCATCAGCTTAGTAACTCCTGCCTTCACTTCATCTTCACTACGTTTCTCCATTTCCTGAGCTCCACGGCCGTATATCCATGCCAGGAGTAGATTTGGCTGGTATTCTACAGTGTTGAGTGCGCAGATTTCTGTGACCCAGTCCTCGTTAGCGAAGTTTCTCTTATCCTCATCCCGCCAGAGAAGGGATAAGCTAGCTGGAGTCTTCGGCCACCAAGGTTTAGTGAACTCTATGTAAATCTTGTCTAAAACACAGAGTTGAAGAGTGTTGATAGCTGTGACCTTTTCAGCAGGTAGTGGCGGATTGAAGAGTTGGGTGTGTCTGAAAAAAACAACTCCATCTAGGTTATGGATTGCGGACTAAAGCTGATACTTGATGTATCTTTAAATAAGTATTTAAAATATGTACTTCGATAGTTTACAATTATAATAATTGATTTCCGATAACTACATGGTACAGCAATTTACCTCTTAATCAAGGAAAATGGAAGATATTTCATACTTATTGTCAGACGAAGATTTAAAGTTATTACAATTAGTCATAGAATTTTATTACTGCGTTCTGATCTGTACAAGTTACATACCTTTCCTTTAACACTCCGACAGATAGAGTAACGATGACACTCTTAGCAGCATAAAGGCTTCCGTCTTTACATTTGACGTGCACCAAAGGATTTTCAGGTTCTAGTCCCGGCTGGGCAGTCCGCCATTTAATACTCTCCACCTCTTTGTTCACTAGTATCTCCACAGGAATTGCTTTGGTGGGATCTGGATATTTATTCTGAAATGATATTAAACATTATGTAGGTATTCCAGTAGGTAAATGTAACACTTGCGTAAAAATATTCATATCAAGTGGAAAAAACAGATATAAAAAAGCATTTCACGATTAGTCATCGATTGTATGAAATTTTAAAACATCATGATTATGTGCAATTAATGTTATTTTTAAGTCTGACGTATCATTTTAATCTGGTTAGCTTACCAATAAAACATCCAATAGGGTTTTAAAGCCTTTTCCCTTCCAGTTTAACATGAACTCTCCTTCGCAGCCCCAGCACTCCTCCAGACCTTTTAGAGACTTTCCATGTCTTGGGTCAGCTTGTCCGCCCAAATGGTTGTTCTTCTCAAACCAATCTAAGAAGGATTTGGCTAGTTGAGGTTCTTTCTTTAATGTTGCATTCGACTTTAGCCTGAAAGGAATTAATAGCAAAGAATTATTTAGGGCTAGGAGAGACTTGAAACAATAGTTTAGCATATACTTGACAATTATTGATTATTTTAAAAAAATATTACATTTATTAAAAATACTACTCAGTTCGTCATGACTTTGAGCCCGAAATTGTTATAGTTCTTAACTTATTCCGAATCTCCCTTAAAAGTGTGATATGGATTAAAAGTGTTGTTACTCTAAAATGTAAAGGTAACAATTTCAGAAGACACTTACGCAGTACGAACGCATTCAGCTATAGACTTCTTGCTGTTCTTGTCGGCTTTACCGACTTCTTGGTTCAAAGCATCGACCAAAGCTTCACTTTTGTCATCATCTACCATCTCCCCGTTAGACAGGATGTACCATTTGTGGTCCGGTTTAGGTCTTCCCAGTAGACCTAATGGATTGACCAGCTCGAAAACTACGTTATCTTTCTCCCCATGACACCTGGAATACATAAAGATTTATTTACAGTTTTGATTACTTATTGATAATATACATATCTACTAACTAACAATTATTTAGGTGCTATATGCACGAGCGTAATATATAAGAGCGTCGGTGGCTCAGTGGTTTGAACACTTGATTGTAATCTACAGGTCTTGGGTTCGAATCCCGCTGTACCAATGTGATTTTCGATTTTTCGAATTTTCATATGTACATAATTTACACGACGTTCTTACGGTGAAGGAAAATATCGTGATGCAACCTGCACATATCGGCGAAGAAATTCAAAGATATGTGTGAAGTCAACCAACCCGCACTTGGCCAGCGTGGTTGACTAT